TGGCTCAGGGAGCACAGTGACTGGCTCAGGGAGCACAGTGTCTGGCTCAGGGGAGCACAGTGTCTGGCTCAGGGAGCACAGTGACTGTCAGGAAGCAGAAGCAGCTGAGCCTAAGCTGCCCATGCCGCAGCCCACCACCCTCACAGCCCACATTTAACCCCAATTCTTCACGAAAGAATAATGTTGGTCAAGAAGTAGTCGTCCCACGCGGCCCCACGGTGCGCCAGGGGCTGCTCTCAGACGGATTGCACAATCGCACGGCCTTCTGAAGTGCTGTGATGACTCCTTATCGCCCCTGTGTAGATGAGGACCTGAGAGGCGTGGAGACTCGCTGGCTGGGAGTGGGGGGCAGATGGGATGGGGCCCAGGGCTCCGGCTCCAGAGCCGTTTGAACCCTGGCCGACTGCTGTGCCCACCGCCCGGGGTCCCCTCTACCCCTAGGCTGCAGCCCAGCAGGGTTCCCCAGACTCTGAGTGTCCCCGGGTTCGTTCCTCACTAGTCCTCTGCCATTCACAGGCTGCCCCTGAAGCGCACCTGCTCGCCCTTCACCGAGGAGTTCGAGCCTCTGCCCTCCAAACAGGCCAAGGAAGATGACCTCCAGAGAGGTAACCTCACTCCCACCCAGAACCACCTCAGCTCCACTCCACCGCCCCCCAGGCGGGGCAGGCTGCCCCCTCCCGTGAGGCCTTCCCCACAGCCTCAAATACGATCCTGGCCAGGCCACCAGGGTGGCACCCACCCAGCTGGGAGCGATGAGGGCGGTTTATCCTTGGAGCTGGGTTGGGCCAAAAGCGAGGGTGGGGGTAGGAGTGAGGAAGGCCCCCAGGGTGCTCAGGGAGCCAGCCAGGTGCTGCACCTTCACCTCACAGGACATGGTGCCTGGGAAAGACTGAGCAAGTGCCCCACTTTCTTGCATGGGCGAGAAGCAGGCGCGGTTTCCAAACTGGCTTTCTAGCTTGTATGCTCTTAATCCATGACTTCCTGGGAGAGGGCCAGACCCTCACCCGTGGAGGCCATCACCGACCGTCAAGACACCGCCCAGCAGCTCAGGTCACATGTCTCTAGCCACTTTGCTAAGCACGTGCTGCCTGTACTTGCTGTTTCCAATCGCCTGTCACTCATTCTCCCACAACTCTGGGCCAGGTAGAGCCGCCTCCACTTCCTGTTGGATAGAACGATGCTCGGTGATGGTCAAGTACCTTCCTCAAGGTCAAGGTCACAGAGCACCCACACCTGCCAGATCAGCGCAAGTGTGGGACCTGCCGAGCTGGCTGCAGGCTTGCCCTTTTCACAGAAATCACCTCTGTAGAACATATTTTACGATCTCCCTCACATCTTGAGGGAGTCCCAGTCTCACTTGGTCTCCTCAAACCACTAAGCCTTCCCTCTGCCTCTTAGTTCTGTTGTATGTGCGGAGGGAGACGGAGGAGGTGTTCGACGCCCTCATGTTGAAGACCCCAGACCTGAAGGGGCTGAGGAATGCGGTAAGAGCCATGTGAGCCCCGCCAGCCCCCCTCTGCTCCTGACCCCCCCCCTTCACACACTGTCCTGCTTTCCCACAGGTAGGCTCTGGGAGGACTGTGCAGAACCCTGGCTTTCTGGCGGCCCACCTGCCCGCCCCACGGGGGGCTGCGGGGCCAGCTGGCGGGGGTGTGCCTCTGTGATGTTATCTCCCAGCCAGCTCTGGCCCCACCCTGCGAGTCGCACACACCATAAATCCTCCTTAATCTGATGGCTGCTGTCTGACAGGCCAGGGCTTTTTGTTGGCTTTGCAAACCTGTTTCTGTTTTAATGGGAATGAAACCCAAAAAGGCTAGGCCCCAGAGATTCTATTTTCTTTCCCAGGGGGCCTCATTCCTCCAGCCTGTGGTTGGCTGGGAGTCGCTAGCCAGAGCAGTGACAGTGGTGTCTGGGTAGAGACACCTTCCCCAACCCCCAGAACAGCCAGGAGTGGATGAAACAGCCCAGAGCAGCTGTGTGGCAAGCACCACTTCCACCAGAGCCAGCTGTGCTTAGGGGTTGGGCCACTCACTCAGAAAACCCAGAAGGTTCCAAGATGCCACACTGGGATGGGGGACACGGGTCCAGTAGCGACATTCGTTCTCTCTGACTGAAGACCCACCACGTGCCAGCATTTTGTCAGCTTACTCTAGCTTATCTGCTGTCCTCGCAGCCCTGAAGAGGTGCCCCTGTGGCTGTCTCCCCACTTCCCAAAGGACGCAGCCTCCCGGGGGCCCGGGGCCTTGCCGAGGGTCCGAGCAGTGACAGAGCTGGGATTTGGCCCAAGCTCTCCCCACTCTGCTCTGCTCTCCTGTGCTCGTCACGTTATCATCAGTGCTGCTTGGCAACCGCTCCAGGAAGTCCACTAAAGGCCACTCGTGTCATTGGAATATAGACTCGGAATCTCTGGGCTGGACAGTACGGTCAAGGGTCAGCCCCCAGCTGGTGCTCGAGCCCCGGTCCAGAGCGCTTCTTGACTTGCCTCCTTCCAGGGACAGAGCACCCACTGCCGAAAGGGCCTCCAGGGCCTCTGTCTGGCTACACTTTATGGTTGGAAGGTTCTTAAGTTCTTCCTTAGGTCGACTTGAGCTGCTTCCAGCCTCGTTGCCATTAAAATAAATAATCCGGGGATTTTTCTTGCCTGGAGGGATCTATGTGGGGGCAGAAAATAACTGAGAAGCGGCAGCATATCCAGAGGGCACCTCAGCCTGGGCGCGAGGCGGCTGGAGGTCCCAGCAGCGGAAAGGTCTTGCTGCTGTCGGCCGGGCCAGCCGGGCCACGCTCACCTCAGTTTACCCACAGAGCCGCCCTGTGCGTCCGTCCACCGTTACCCCCGGTGCAGACCTGTCCCCTGCCGGGGTGGGGGCTGGCTCCAGAGCATCTGTGCTGACCTTGAGGGAACTCTGGTGCGGGGAGAAACAGGCTGAGCCCAGTCCCACGGGCCCTGAGCTGCAGGCCCCTCTGTCCGCTGCAGGCTGTGCTGGGGGCGGGCGCCCGGGCTGGCCCTGGGGCCCTGGGGCACGTGCGTCTCACCTCTGGGTGCGTCTTGCAGGGCAGGCGTGTGGGCGTGACACCCCTCACAACAGGGCAAGGCACACCCCCATTGCTCCACTCCTGACAGGCCGGGGGGCCATTCATGGAGGTCTTGGTACACGCCAGGAGCTGTCTGGTGTTTTATGTAGGCCGGTTCATCCTCGTAGCCACCCGAGGGAGACTCCAGGCCTGTCTGCTCCACTAGCTGGGGGGGGTCGGCCCTCGCCCTGGCTGACAGGGGCCGGCCACACAGGGCCGGGTGGTGCTGGGTGCTCTGTGGCCACTGGAAAGGCTTTCTGTCTAGAGTTTTCTGGAAGTGTGCCCAGAAGATGGAAAGGGATACACTCGGTGTCTAGTGGTGTGTCTCTGTGGGAAACAGCATTATGGGTGATTGTCATTTTCTTCATATTTTTCCACACTACGGGATATATATTATTTTTATAGTCAGGAAATAAAAGTCATGACCCAAAATGATTTCAGTCTGTAGAGCTGATGAATTCCCTGCCCTTCTCTTCCAGATCTCTGAGAAATATGGGTTCCCCGAGGAGAACATTTACAAAGTCTACAAGAAATGCAAGCGGGGGTGAGTGCCCAGAAAGCCGCCTCGAGCCCCCACTCTGCCCTGCACCCTGGCTCGGGGCTCCGCCGCTCGGAGCTGAGTGGAGCGCCGCCCCGCCAGGCCCAGGCCGCCTGCAGTCCAGCTGCTGGTCACTGTTGGGAGGAAGGGAGCAGGCCGGGAGGGTCTCTAGGGCCCCCATGGAGCAGAGCAGGGTGGGGGGTGGAGGGCACGCTGTAGCTAAAGGCCCTGGGGACCCCGTGAGTGGGTTGCGAGTGACTGTCGCCACCATCCGCCTGAGCTTCCCAGCCACACTGCAGCGCACCATTACCTGCATTTTACAGACTGGGAGACTGAGGCTCAGAGGTGCTGAGCAGCGTTAGGGGCCTTGAGGAAAAGCCTGAGGCAGGGGAGCCCAGCGCCGCGTTGCTCCTGCTGAGTCAGGGATGAGAAGGGGGTGGCTGGTGATAGTCTGCAAAGGGGGTGGTGAAGGAGCGTGGTCTCGTGGGAGCCCACGGGGTGCTCCACAGGCCTGGTCCACCTCTAGGTGTGAGGGCGTGTGCGTCACTCAGACAGGGCCGTCCTGCTGCCCGCGGGAGCTCCTGGGAAGTAGCGCTGTGGCCCAGGGGCCGCGCAGACGGCCTCAGGGTGACTGCCCCCAGGGTCCATCCCCCTGGTCAGAGCCAGTGAGCTGGGCCTCTGCAGCCCAGTCCAGCCTGAGGATCTGTCAGTGGGCCCCCTGTCCGCAGCTCGGACCTGCCCCGGGGCCGTCTAGCCGCAGCCCCGCCGACCCCTGGCCCTGGCAGGCGCGCTGGCCCCTGGCTGTTGTCTGTGGCCCTCCTTGAGAAGACTGCTTCCTCCTCCGCTCAGCTCAGGCTCTCGCTGCTCTCTCAGGGCCTGGCCCTGCCTCCCTGCTCCCTCCTCTCTGGTTCCCACCCTGCCTCCCTCGGAAGGGCGGGGTGAGGGTAGGTGCCTGACCCTGCAGCTCCTGGGAAAGGATCCTCTTGGTTTTGGTTGCATGAGTGTCTAGGGTTTTGTGTGTGTGTTTTTTTTCTTCCAAGTTTCGGTTTCAAACCGGGACTCACACGCTCTCTTGGAGCGGGATCTACCTCATAGCAGAGGGCAGGCTCTGCTCTGCCCAGACAAGTCCAGCCCCACTTCCCCTTCATGCAAGTGCCCACACCCCCGGCTGCAGCCCCACCTGCTGCGGGCCTCCCTGGGGTGCCCCCACGGCTGGGAAGTGCCTCTGTGCTAGGGCCGGGATGCCTACGGGGATGCCCTCCCCAGCCACCGCCTGACTGGCCTTTCCCTTGAGCCCAGCCAGTTATTTAACCTTAACACTAACAACTGTTTTGGGGGCTCTTCCAAATGCCGCGCTGGGCTCAGGAACTCCCGGCCTCGTCTCACTGACCCCTTGAGCGTGGTACGCTCGTTTCTATTTCTGCCGACGAGGAAACAGTTCAGATTAGCCCCAGGGTCACAGTTAGTACCTGGCAGGAGGAATCCTGGCTCCTCTGAAGCCGGAGAGCACACCCATTGCTTTATCTCGCCTGCTGCTTGTTCTCTAACCGCTAAGCAATGTGCAAATAGGCTGTGGCCAGGCCGACTGATTTATTTGCTCAGCCCCATCACCCAGGGCATCACCCAGCCGTCCTTCAGAGCACCCCATGCCCCCACACTCCCACTATGAAAAAACCTCAGGCTGAGGATTGTCAGAAATGCCCAAATGAGAGGAGTCCCCCAAAAGTCTTTTGGGGAGGGGAGACCGGACCCATCTGCTACCTCCCTCGGAGTCAGACTTGCCTCATTTGAGAAATTCTCATAATGGCTAGTTTATTTTCACTGAAACCTCCCCAAAGTGCTCTGGACAAAGCTATATACAATCAGCTTTACAAGCGCCACTGAATGCTTGAAAGATTAACAAGTCATTGTTTTTGCTGGCAGCTGGCCAGCAGTTTCCTGCGAACCAGGACAGAAGACAGCTAGAGGCTGGCAAGTGACAGGCCTGTGTTCTGTGCGGGGCTCCCGACCAGCCCCTGCCTCGGGGGCCTGGAGGTCACTGACTCCCGCCGGGGGCCCGCCGGGAGCCCCGGTGTGTGGGTGTACCTCTGGCCTGAGGGAGGCCCTTGCTGGCAGCAGCAGGGATAGGCCCTCAAGTTTGTGCACGTAGGGCGCATACAGAGCTGGCACCTAGAGGCACCCAGTAAATCCCACGAGTGAAGCAAACAGAAATCCCCGGCACTGACGGGGTCCCCCACCCCCACCCAAGTGCTGGTTTCCCCTGGGCTGTTCCCAGCCTGCAGCCCCCAGGCAGAGGTCCCCCCGTGAAATGAAGGACCTGCGGACAAGACTGGAGCGCCAGGGTCCTGGAAGGAGCCTTGGCAGTCAGCACCGGGCCTCAGGGCCCAAGTGCAGGCCTCCTGGGGCAGCCGCCGGCCTCCGCAGACAGAGCTGGACACGGGCCTCAGGCAGGGAGGCAGCACTGCCCTTACCCCGCCCACCTGCCGGCGGGACACAGGGCTGCCTCGCCTGTGGAGGCCCTGCCCACTGCTGCCCCACTGAAGTCATGTCGCCCTCGTCTCAGCTCCCCAGGCCCGCACTCTGCTGTCCTTCCAGAGGCCACTTCCTCACTTGTATTTAGGGGGGTTTTGTCTTTTCCTTTCTAAAACTGTGACAGTGAGAAGACACAAAGTCTGAATTCACGCCCCAGCTCTGCCCCCTGTCAGTCTGCGAGCGCCTTAGCTCCTTTGGGCCTCAGCTACCCCAGCTGTGGACTGGCCCGTGGGGTTGAAAGGAGTCGTTTCCCAGCCCCCCTAGATTAAGCCCCTGGGGAGAGGAGGTCTCTAGGGGCGCCCTACAGCCCTCGCTTAGAAAGGCCTCAGCATGTGCTCGTGGGGTGAACGGGCAGGGGGACCCAGATTCGTGACAAGTCCGGTGTCCCAGCAGGGAGGGCAGAGGGAGAGCTGAAGCGTTCAGGCCCGGCCCCACCTCGTGGGCGTCCAGGGCAGCGGCCGCCGGAGGGCTGCCCTCAGGCCTAGACTGGCTTTGACCCCCACAGCCGGGGAGGTCCTGTTCCTCCCGGGCCAGTCCCGGTCCTGGCCTGAGAGTGTGCGGGGAGGGGGCCACGCCCTGAGTCAGTGTCGCCAGCCCCGTGGTTGCAGCGTCACAGGGGAGGTGCTGAGAGGGGCCTGGGTGGCACCTGCCCTGGCTCGGGCAGACACACCTGAGTGACACATCGCAGCCTCCTATTGACCCCGAGCTGCCCTGGCCCACCCACCACCACACCTCTGCTCTCGCACTCACTCCTGTCCCGGTCCCAGCTGCCTGGGGACTCAGGAGCCCTGGCCGCCCCAGCTCTGCAGTGCAGGCCCCTGGGCGCCCGCGGAGGCCTCGGCTCAGTAGCCGGGCGCTGTAGCGGGCAGGCCTGGGGGAGGTGTGGCTCTGCCCCCAGGTGTCCTGCCTGCCTCGGGAAGCGGAACAGGGAATACCCACTTTGCAGGTGGTTATGAGAGAGCACGTTTGGGAGATGCCAGTGGGTAGTGACCACGACCTGTCCCCGAAAGGGTCTGAAGAGGATTACCTGCCACATAACCGCCACGTCCCCTCCTCTCTTCCAGAATCTTGGTCAACATGGACAACAACATCATCCAGCATTACAGCAACCATGTCGCCTTCCTGCTGGACATGGGGGAGCTCGATGGCAAGATTCAGATCACCCTAAAGGAGCTGTAGGGCCCCAGCGGTGACTCCTTCTGACCCCTGGGGGCAGGCTCCAAGCCGGGGCCAGCTGGGAAGTGGCCCTGCCAGCACCACCTCCCCTCACGCTTCAGTGCTGTTACTTGAATGCCTCCCCTGAGGGAAGAGGCCCTCGAGTCACAAGCTCACAGATGCCAGAACCAGGAAGGGACCTGGGAGGTGTCACCACCTGACCCCCCATCTCATGCTTGAATCTACTCTCCGAACTTCCTGTTGGGCCAGAGACAGTGCCTCTGGGGTATTGTGGCCACAGACTGTTTCCACCTCCAAAGACCCTTTCTGCAGAATCTTCCGCCACCTGAATCGGCAGACCCCTCCCGGCAGGGACTTGCGTCTGACTCCCACGCTCGATTCTCCTGTCAACTTCAGGTCAAGGATTTCTATCCCCTGAAAAACTCTTGATTTTCAGTGCAAAGACTTCTGAAAGACTGGCGTGTGGGGCAGCCTTCCCGTGCTCGCTCTGCGCAGGAGTAAACACGCTCACCCGGAATGCGGCGACCGCCGCGGCCCTGGCCGCTCGCTGTTGTACACATTTCTTATTGACAGTTTCCACCCATGTTAAATATATATATAGAGGTACATATTGTATAGATATGCAGCCGTTTATTTTATGTGACATTTTATTTTATACTGCTTCTGTATACATTTTTATCATTTCAAAAAATGTGTATTTCACATTTCTTGGACTATTTTTTTAGCTGTTATTCAGTGATGCCTCATTTTGTATACGCATGGTATTTAGTAATAAAATCCCACCTATGTATTACTTCAAAGGCTGCCCTTGTTTCTTTGTGATGCTTCTGGGAAGAGAGGGCAAGGGTGGACCAGGCGCCCCACCACCTGTGAGCACTGGTGTGGGCCTGCAAGGGGCGCGGGCTGTGCCCTGGTGGTGAGGGGCCGCCTGCAGGGAGCAGCTGGGCCTCTGGCCCATGCTGCCTGCTCTTGCCTGCACTGCAGGCAGCGCCCCCCACCCCAGCCCCCCTGAGCAGGGCCAGGGGGAGCTGGCAGGCGCTCAGGAAGGAGAGGACAGGCAGATCGCCCCTGGTGCATGTGCCAGGTGACGCCTGCTGCTCACCCTCCCCCGCTGTCAGCACAGCGGCCAGGCTTGGAGGGTGCAGAGTGACTTCGGGTGCTCCCCTGGCCCCTCAGTGCTGCCAGGCAGGCCGTGCTGGAGGCCCAGACAAGGAAAACACCTGCAGTCCTGCTCCCGGCTTCCAGTTTTTGAGTCTTTGTCATGATTTTGTGCATATGCCTTAATTTTAAAAATCTGTTGCAGAAGTGACATCTGACCTGGATGACTAAGCTCTCAGGCCACACTGCTTGCAGCTGAGGCAAATGCCTGCCCTGCCTGCTCCTCTCTGACCCGGCAGGCCTTGGCATTGGGACCTGGGAGGCCTTCAAGAGACTCATGGGTTTTGAACTTTTTCTGTTTTTGTTTTGTTCAAATAAAGGTTTCCAAGAAACCCTAACATATGAACGGGGGCAATAGGGGGGAAGCAGCGCTGCTGACTGGAGTCTGCCCCCCCCAGGAAACAGGAAGGGGGGCATTCAAACTTGATTGCACCTTGGAATCACCTGGGCAGCTTATCCCATTGCCCACCAGGCTCCCAGCCTCTGAGAGCCCGTCAGACCGCAGCCTGGAACAATTGACACAATTTCTGGGGGTGGACTCAGGCCCTGGTACTGTGTAAGTCTCCTTGGTGATGCCGTGTGCACCCCAGGTGGAGGGTCACTGCCCTCACGCCTTCAGTGGTTCGGGCCTGACGCTCCGTCATCTCCAGGCGGCCTGCAGATGGTTGCACAAGGACTGGCTGGCATCAGCTCGGGAGAGGGGGACAGTTCCCACCCAGAGGCACCCAGTAGCCCCCAGGGAGGCCCCCAGGGCCATGGCCTTCTCCTCCTGAGGCACTGAGGGCCATCTTGGCCTCGAAAGACTAGACCTTAAAGAGCCTGGAGGGAATCCAGCCCTGTCCTCGGGGGTCGGGGTGCACAGAGCAGCTCCCCAGCCCCACAGTGGCCATTCTGGCCATACCAAGATTGCCTTTAACTCCAAGCAGTGAAAAGGTGAGAGAAGTGAATCCTTTCCAAAAAGGAGGTCTCCTGAAAAGGCAGCTGTGGGCTGGTGAAGTGAGCATCCCCTGCCTGCTGGGAGCTGCGGCCTGAGCTCCAGGTGACATAAAGAAGGGGGGTGGGGAGGAAGGCCAAGTGGGGAAGACAGGGGTGAGGCGGTGAGGAAAAGAATGGGAGGGTAACTAAAGAAACAAGCAAATGGATGGACGACTGAAAGGCCAGAGAAAGCGTTGGAGAATGAAGTGTATTTTTTAGGCCCTCGCTGCTCTGTGAATCAGCGCAAGCCAGCAGCATCCGGGTCCCCCGGGAGCAGGCAGGACACGCTACACCTAAAACCATTGCATGTGTCAGTCACATCCCAGTTTTATTTAAAAATGCAGATTTTCAGGTTTCACCCCAAATCTACAGAGTCTTCCTTTTAAGATCTCCAAGTGATCTGCACGCACAATTAAATTTGGAAAATATTTTATGGAACCACCCCTAACCCTAACTAACACTTTATAGTCATACTGAGAGCTTCAATGAAGTTTCCAATGCCCAGATCCTGCCTTGCGCGACAACTAGATCCCAGCTTTGAGGGACACAGGAGGAATGTTTCTGCAACAGCTCCCAGGCGACCCTGACATCCAGCGGGAGCTGAGATCCACTGGGCTGGCGGGGGCCGGGAGAGGCCAGGACATCTGATCCAATCAAGACAGCGCATCCGAGCCCCGGTGCTCAGCTCCAGGTATGTGTCCCACAGAAGGGGGTTAAGACTGCTCTTCGCTTCCCAGGCCCCCTCTTTCCTGGCCCACTTGGAGGGGCTCTTCTGGAGAGACAGTTCCCCTGCCTGAGGGAAGGAGATGCCTGCCTTGTTCTCTGCTGTGTGGCCACCAGCCTCTGGCCACGGCAACCCCAGGGCTGGACGCTCCCTGCTAAGGTACCACAGGATCAGAAGGACCTAAAACTCAAGGCCTTGGCATCTGCCCCATAATCAAGTGGGGTCAAAGAAAGACTCAGCTTCAAGTCCGCTTTGATAGTGGTTTCCAGAATATCTAGGACCTAAGTAGACAATTGATGACCTGCTAGAGTTTCCTTTAGTCCCAACAACAAAATTTTAATTATAATTGGTCGTCAACATTTCAAATCATTTCAAATCACAAGAGTTCGCATTTTAGAGATTTCCCAGATTGCTGAAAACTGCAGATCCCACCACCATCAGCTGCAGCCGTGGTGAGGCTTCCTGCTTCAGAAGGAAGCAGCCCCAGGCCCAGCCTGACCCGCTTTACTCTGTGTGTTGCCTGCCCAGGCCCTGCACGTACTTGGCCTTGAGCCCCCTACATTCTGATCTGACTGTTGTCCTCGAGGAGAAGCTAAGGCGAGGACAGAGCACCGTGAGACCCGGGCTGTCGCTACGAGCACAGCGCTGTCCACCGCCTCCTGTCCCTGCCGAAGCAGTGGGAAGAATCTGAGGTGCTCAAAGGCCAGCATTATGGGAAACGAGAATTCTGTTTAACGGGCTCGGGATTTGCCGCCTTCTGCCTTACCCCCCCTTGTCTAGGGGGAGCCAGTCGGCAGCCAGCTGGGCCCTACCGCACCCTGGGAGAAAAGTCAAAGGAGAGAGCCGAGGGCCTTGTCCATGGGGAGCAGGGAGCGGCGACTGCAAGGGGCGTCCCTGACACAGCCAAGGACACACTGGCCTGGGGCAGGAAGGAGGGGCGGGTCCTTTCCTTCTCTTCCCCCTTGGTGCTCTGGGAATCTTCAACACAGTGAAGTGACTGGATGGACCTGAAACTCTGGAACGGACTGTGTCAGACACGGCAGGGGTGGCGGTGGGGGGCAGGGCAGGAAGGAGGAGTGGGAGGAGGAGGGCTCAGGCCCCAGCAGGGTCTGCCCACATGCTGTGGCCTCTGCTGAAGCTCTGTGGGGCGTACAGTGGCCGCTATCCCCCCGCAGGTCAGCTGTGCACGCTTATCTGGATTCAGGGGTCCAGGCAACCTCTTCATGCCTCTGTCACAGTGCGGCTGGGCCTCCCTGGCTCCTGGAACTTCAGGAGGCATCTGGGGTCCAGCCTGGGCTGCTGCCCGTGCTGCCCACCTGCAGCCTCACTCGGTCCCAGGGCCCCGGCTGAGCGTCAGGCTGCTAGGCCTGACGTCTGCCCACAGAGGCCTTTTCCCTGGAGTCTGCCTCCAGGAACCCTTGATTGCAGAGGAGGTAGAAGCCGGCCCCGTGGGTGTGGGGGCGGGGCTCTGTCCACGCCCCACTCTGCTCATGGTGGTGCAGTCAGCGGGGTCCGAGGTCCTCAGGAGGCAGCAGAGCAGCGGCCCAGTGCAGCCCAGCTGTCACCTCAGGCGGTGGCAGGGTGTGCACCCCAGCCTCCGGTGGTCACACACAAAACCCACATTCCCAAAGGAATGTCATGGGGTGTGGACGGGGCAACGGGGCCGGGCCCTCCCCCAGCTCGCGGGCAGTCGTCACAGCACTGGGACCCACTTGTTGTCCTCGTTGTAGAGAAAGGACTGCTTCCCCTGGAGCTCCGGCTTGTAGGTGGCTGTGGGGAGAGACGTCTGGTGAGAAGAAAAGGCCATGCCTCTCTCGCGGGGACAGGGCCCAAGGGAAATGGCTGAGGCAGGGCTTGCACTCAGGCCCCTGCCTTTGAAATTCCTTTTAATTTCTTTAACAGAAGAGAATTGGCCCAAGTTACCTGATTTTGAGAAAAAGTATTGAGCAAAGCAAGATATCCACTTGATGGGATTTTGATTTGATTCAGCACAGTGAAGCCAGGACGAGGGCGGGCACGGTTCTCCGGCAGCCTGTAGCCGGGCGGGCGGGCAGGACTTGGCCACCACAGCCCCGACGCTGGAAACGCCCCTCATGAGGCTGATTTGGTCAATAATGCTGGAGCAGTGCCTGGGGGCACCACTGAGGGTGTGGGCAGCAGGAAGGTGGACGGTGTGTTCATACCAGGAAGCCCCCAGGGATGCCACCTCTGTGTGGGGGACTGGCCTGTGCCCTACACGGGCGTGGCCGGCCCATTCTGCCGGATGACCACAGGTCAAACCACTGCAGCCTGTTGCCGGGAGGACCACTGTATCTCCAAGGCCAGTGCTATGAGAGTGACTCTCTCCCGGTCTCATCTACCTGACACTGTACTCACCTGTGTGCTTGGAGGGCGGCGCCTCTCCTACCTCACAGGCCCTCTGGGAGTGGGGAGGGCAAGTCAGCTTTGCCTCCCCAGGCAGGGGCATCAGCAATGCTCGCTGAAAGACTGAGTTTAGCCGGCAGCCACCTCGACTCTGCCTTCTTCCTCCCTGGCCGCTGCCCACCAGCACACCTGTCCACCAGACTACTCTGTGATTAGACATCTTTAAGACATGAGCCTTTGCACACTCTGGCCCAAGCCAGAGCCTCTTTCTCCCCAAAATAAGGTGTGCCCGCTCCCAGGTGTGGCCACTCAAGGCCACGGCCCAGCCCGTCCTCGAGTCTCCGGGACGTTCGCCTCCCTGAGCAGTGACTCCTGGCCTGGGTCATCTCTGAGAGTCCCTTCAGCTAGAGAAAAGACAAAAAGCGACCTTTTCGACTGTGAAAGTGTAAGCTAAAACGTCTTCCCCGTCTTCACTAACCCTGTAAACTGTTTGGCAAACAGCCTGTAAATCCACGGCATCTGATGGCCCAGGAATGCCAAACAATTCCAGATTTCGTTTTTACAATCATTTAAAAACAATCCTCTGACCTGGGCCGGGCAGGCCTGGCTGGGCTGGCGCCACTGTCCACCGTCTGGTGTTGGACACAAACGAGGCGCTGGAGATGAAGTGCTTGGGGGGCCCCTCGTAGTCCACGATCTCATACTGCCCGGGGCCGGGGAGCGGCAGCTTCGGGGGCAGGGGCAAGGGCTGGGCCGAGAAGTTCAGCAGGGGGTTTTTCCTTCAGAAAAGACAAAATGGGGAGATGGCTGTCACTCCGTAATCTACTGGGGACACGGTGGCTTCGCTGGTGTTAGTCATAGCCCAGGCCTGTCCCACACCAAGTTGCCTGTGAGAGGACTGGACATGGCACTGGGAGGCCTGGGCAGTGCCCTGGTTCCACTGGTGAGTTGGGGGCCCCAGTGCCTAGCTCCCCCTCTGTCCACTGGTGACCATATGAACCATGGGGGTGGGGGGGACATTGTCAGGGTTAAGTGAGTGGTTAAACCACTCAGAACAACCACTATGGAAAACTGTCTGGAGCTTCCTCAAACTGCTAAACATGGAGCTTCCCTACGACCCAGCAATCCCACTCCTAGGTATCTACCCAAAAGACACAAAAACACTGATT